TTGGAAATCAAATGTCACATTTTCGAGGGAGACATCCCAGAAAATGGCCATGTTCTAGAGATCTACCATCATTACTTTTTTTTTTCTTTAATAAAGTTTGGGGAAATGGGGGGGTGGGGAATGAAAACCTACTGACAGGTGAAAAAATATCTCGCATTTATATATGTATATATGAAATTTCAGACAAGGGTCTCATAATTAAAGTTTACATAATACTACTAGGCCTCTACAAGAAAAAGTCTGAGTACCCAATTACAAAATGGGCAAAAGAAATGGAAAGCTTTTTCACAAAGGAATACATTTAGATGGTCAACAGACACATGAAAAAATGTTGAAAATCACCGGCTATAAAAGAAATGCAAATTAAAACCACAGTGAGATACCATCACATCCCAGTAGCAACAGCAATGTTTAACAGGACAGCAAGCAATAAATGTAGGAGATGTGATGTGGAGAGACTGGAGCTCTCATATACTGTTGGTGGGATTGTAAATGGTAAAATCACTCTGAAAGGCAATTTGCCATTTCCTTAAAAAGCTGAACACAAAAATTCTACATGATCCAGCTATTCTGCTCCTAGGAATATACACTGAGGAAAATTGAACTGAGACACAAACAGATTCACAGCAGTGTTATTCACAATAGCAAGAAAGTGAAAACTCAAATGCTCATCAACAAATGAATAGATTAAGAAATTGTGGTGTATTCACATGATGGAATAATATGCAGCACTCTGGAACAGTGATTTTTGAAAATACTGTATAACTTGGAAGAGGCTAGAGAACATTATGCTGAGTGAACTAACTTCATCTCATAAGGACAAATACTGCATAATACCATTATTGTAAATATAGATGGATAACCAGTAGCATTTGGACAAAAGTACAAAGAGGGAAAGGGATGGGGAGGAAAATGGAGCAATCACCGGGTCGCAGAGTGTGGGTGGTGGAGGGAGGGGGTGAAGGAATTAGGAAAGATCAAGTGGGGACCTAAAGGGACAGGGATAGTAGGAACAGATCAATGGTGATTGGTTTTATAAAACACAGTATATGAAAATGATCATATGACGTGAATGAAAGAATGTGTAAATCACAATACATATGAACAAAACACAATGCATACAAATTTTGTATGTTGTTGTTGTGTTCTTATGTGCTGGTGAGTTGTTTGAGACTCATAAAGATATTATGTACAACAGCTTTGAACCCCTGCTCTATCCTATGCCAATCTTATTGTCTCTGACACACCTACCCCCGTTACCTCAGTCACTGAATCAATTCATTTCATCCAGGGTCTTCCTCTCTTGCACTGTCCCTCCATCCTTCCAAGCATGATGTCCCTCTCCAAGGACTGGTCTCTCCTTACAATGTGTCCAAATTATGGAAGTTTCACAATCTTTGCCTCCAAGGAGCAGACTGTTTTAACGCCCTGGTCAAACCTGTCTGTTCTGGTAGCTGTCTATGGTATATTCAATACTCTTCTCCAGCACCCCAGCTCAAAGGCATCAATTTTTCTTCTATCCTTCCTAGTAACTGTCCAGCTCTCTAATGCATAACAAGTAATTGCAAAGACCATAGCCTGGATCAGATGCACCCTGGTCTCTAGACTGGCATTGTCACTCTTCAGTACTTTGGAGAGATCCCTGACAGCAGACTTTCCCAATGCAATTCATCTTTTGATTTCCTGGCTGCTGGTACCATGAGTACTGCTTGTGGAGCCAAGTAAGCTGAAGTTGTTAACAATCTCAAATTTCTTCACCATCTGTCATCATGCTGCTGCCAATTGGCCCAGTGGAGAGAATCTTTGTTTTCTTGTTGTTGAGTTTCAATCCATATTTAAGACTGCAGTCCTTGACCTTGTGCAGCAAGTGTTTCAGGTCCTCCTCAGTTTCAGCAAGCAATGTTGTATCATCTGCATAATACAGGTTGTTAATAGTCTTTCTTCAATCCTGACGCCACATTCTTCCTCAAAGAGCCCAGCTTCCCGGATGAAATGTTCCGCATATAGATTGAAAAGGTATAGAGATAGGACATATCCCTGGTATACACCTTTCCTGATTTTGAACCATGAAGACTTTCCTTGCTCTGTTCTGATAACTACATCGTGGTACAAGCACAGGTATTGCATAAACACCATCAAGTGTTCTGGGATTCCCTTTCTTCTTAGAGTTAGCCACATTTTTCTGTGATGCAAACCAATATAAAATAAAGAATATATATCCTTTAAAAATATACATAGTGTTTTTGGTGAATGTTAGCAGCACTTCTTTTTTTTTTTTTTTCTCAAGACAAACACAATTTCATTCTTACATGCATCGGCACAGCCATGTAAGGTTTTCAACTGTTGACTTTTCAGAAATGGAATACTAGGTATCTACTTTACAAATAAAGCTATACTCTAACAGTCTGCATGCTCATACAACTACTTTCTCCCCTCATAACACTTCTTTTTTAAATATAATTCTTTTTCATTTCCATCTGACCTTCTTTTTCTTTTACTAATTTTAATAAACAGTTACGGAGATTTTGTATTTCCATTCATTCATTGCTGCACTTTTCTCCCTGCCCACTCCTCCCCACCAGTTCGCTCCTCTCTTTGAAAAGAAAAAGAGAAAAAAAAACTCCTTCATCGGTATACAATTCCCCCATCCCTCCCCCCGCCACACACACCTAGTAGACTTCTCTATGCAACCTTACTTGTGGACTCATGTGCTAACCATAATACTCAATCACATATCGCCTTTAATTTGTTCTTTCCCTCATCTGTTTCAATACAGTATACATAATTTATTCAGTTTTTTTCTCAGTCTTACCCGAACCCTGATGTCAGACCCATTCTACAACAGTGGCATTGTGCAGTATTTGTCCCTTTGTGACTGAGATATTTCACTCAGCATAATGTCCTCCAGGGTCACCCATTTTTAATAATATTGCATGAGTTCCTTGTTTTTCCAATGCAGTATAGTATTCCATTGTGTGAATATACCACAGCTTCTCTATCCATTCATTTGTTGGTGGGCACTTAGGTTGCTTCCAACTCTTTGCTATTGTAAACAAAGCTGTGATAAACATGGGTGTGCGTATATCTATTTGGATGGCAGTTATGGTCTCTCTGGGGTATATTACCAGTAATGGGATTGCTGAGTCAAATGGTATCTCTGTGCAATTTTTTTAGAAAGCGCCACACTGCTTTCCACAACAGTTGCACCATTTTATACTCCCACCAACAGTTTCTCCACATCCTCGCCAGCATTTGTTGCTAGCAGCACTTCTTTTCAAACCCTTCACAGATAGGAAAAATGCTTGCACAATGCGCACATGCTGCATGTTCATTTAGAAACAAGATGTAGAATTTCAACTCAGCAATTTAAATAAGAATTTTCATTTTGAAACAAATTTACTTGCACTCCTAAGTCTAGAAAAGCTTGTGAAATCTTTGAAATGCCAGCAAGAATCCCCACTGCCACTGAGATCTTGTAAATGACTGAGGCACTTCCTTTAACATGCCCATGGCCATTTTCCATTCACATGGGGAAGGGAGCTCCGGTGACTTAGTGGGAAGGAGTTCTGTTGGGAACACAAAGGCACACGGCTCAAACCCAGCAGCTGAGTTGCAGACATTTACTGCCTCTGAAAGCCTGTTGGAGGGTCAGCTATAAGTTCCAACTTGACAGGACATAATCATAAGCACATGGCCATTCCACTAGCAGCTGCTGCCATGGCTGCCACATACTGCACACTAAACACAGCAAGCAAAGCTTTAACTGCTTCTTACATGAGACTCACAGGGCTCACAGAACAGGCAAAGGCAGAGGTGACTCCAATATCCTGACAGATCAGGATTTGTCCTGGACTGGTAACAAGTACACTGTTAATGCTGGGTGGATATTATTTGGGAAGACACACACTGTCATATTCTACTGAGGATACTGCAAACACCAAGGGATTCTTAGGAGATAAGAACATAGAAAAATGTAAAGTATACATGTCCTTTATCTTTTAATTGTCCTGTTATACATCTCTCTGAAAGAAATATGTAAGAGTAAAAAATGTGTCAGCCAGCATTGACTGTAACAAAGAAATCATTCAGATAATCTTCATTTTTGTCAACAACCTACTGTTATTGAGTCATCTCCAACTGAGCATGACCCTACAGGATGCCACTCAGGGCTTCCGAGGCTATAAATCTTTCTGGGAATAGACTTAATCCTGAGGAGTGGTTTCAAACAACTGACATTTCTGCTTACCAGCCCAACATTTACCCCACAGCACTCCAGAGCTGTTTCATCAATGAGCAATTAGTTAAATTATTTATAGTCCATCCACACAAAGTAGAATTTCAGCTAAGTAATCATGTCTAGAGGTTCAGTTGCTTGTAATCTTTATGGAAGCAGATTGCTCCGTCCTTCGCCCATGTAAAAGCTGGTATGTTTGAATCACTGAGGTTTTGGCTAGCAGCCCAATGCTTAACTACTGTATCACCAAGTTCTTTTAGATATCTGTCAGCCCACTGCCATCAAGTCAATTTCTTTTTTTTTTCCCTTAATTCACTATTTTATTATGCCAATTAATGACACATTCTGAGGTTATCAGAAGACATTCTATGTTTTAGTCACTTTCCCGTAATGTGTGTGACACAAGTTTTTGCCTTTAACATTTTTTTTTTTTGGTGAGAAAAATTTATTAC